TGCTGGGATTACAGGCTTGAGCCACCGCGCCCGGCCTAATTTTTGTATTTTTAATACAGACAGGGTTTCACCATGTTGGCCAGGCTGGTCTCAAACTCCTGACCTCGTGATCCACCTGCCTCAGTCTCCCAAAGTGCTGGGATTACAGGCATAAGCCACCGAGCCCAGGCCGAAGAGGATGTATTTTCTTTTTCTTTATTCTTTTTTTCTTTTTTTTGAGACGGAGTCCCACTCTGTTGCCCAAGCTGGAGTGCAGTGTGGCACGATCTTGGCTCACTGCAACTTTCACCTCCCAGGTTCAAGCAATTCTCTGCCTCAGCCTCCCGAGTAGCTGGGATTACAGGCACACGGCACCATGCCGGCTAATTTTTGTATTTTTAGTAGAGACAGGGTTTCATTAGCTTGGCCAGGCTGGTCTTGAACTCCTGACCTTGTGATCCACCCACCTCAGCCTCCCAAAGTGCTGGGATTACAGGCGTGAGCCGCCGCGCTCGGCTGGTGTATTTTTTAATATCCAACCTGAAACTGCAGGAAAGGCCCTGTCTGAAAGGAAGATTTAGGAAGCCGACGAAGGAACCTGAATTAACTTCACTCTCAGCGACTCAGCTGTTCTTCACCAATCAGGCAGTGACAACTATATCCACCAGGGGGCAGCATCTGCTTATTTCTAGCCCTTGGCTCCACCCTGGGACTTGATTTTGGGATGGTTGCCAGGGAAAGAGCTCTTGGTTGGGGAGAAAGGTATCTTTGGGGCCCTTTCACACATTTTCCCCTCACACTCAGAGATAGGTTGGGTTTTCTCCATTTTGTTCATGAGGAAACAGAACTGGGATTTGAAAAATTGGTCTTAATTATTCCCGAGCTCCTTGGCGTCATTCCGCCACCCCACCCGCTACTCCTGCAGACTCCTCTTTCCCTCGTTTGTTCACGAAGACAGGTACTTAAGATGCTGTAGAGAGAAGCAGCCACTTCCTAGGCGACCTCCACGCATCCTTCTACCCTCCCTTACTCCAGAGCATGGACTGTTGGGGGAAAGGACCTGGAAACATCTAAGCCCCTCATTACGTCATTACATGCTGAGGAAACCGAGGCTTCCAGGAGGGGAGGTGACTTTTTTTTTTTTTTTTTTTTTGAGATGAAGTCTCCCTCTGTCACCCAGGCTGGAGTGCAGTGGCATGATCTCGGCTTACTGCAACTCTGCCTCTCTGGTTCCAGCTATTCTCCTGTTTCAGCCTCCCAAGTAGCTGGGACTGCAAGCATGTGCCTCCATGTCCTGCTCTTTTATTTTTTTATTTTTTTTAAAATAAAGATGAGGTTTCACCATGATGGCCAGGCTGGTCTTGAACTCCTGACCTCAGGTGATCCACCCACCTTGGCCTCCCAAAGTGCTAGGATTACAGGTGTGAGCTACAGTGCCTGGCCTTTTTTTTTTGAAATGGAGTGTTGCTCTGGTTGCCCAGGCTGGAGTGCAATGGCGTGATCTGGGCTCACTGTAACCTCTGCCTCCCAGGTTTATGTGATTTTCCTGCCTCAGCCTCCTGAGTAGCTGGGATTGTAGGCAAGTGCCACCACGCCTGGCTAATTTTTTATATTTTTAGTAGAAAGAAGGTTTCACCATGTTAGCCAGGCTGGTCTCGAACTCCTGACCTTAGGTGATCCACCCACCCCAGCCTCCCAAAGTGCTTGGATTACAGGCATGAGCCACTGAGCCCAGCCTGCCCTGCTAATTTTTTTTATTTTTAGTAGAGACGGGGGTTTCATCCTGTTAGCCAGGCTGGTCTTGAACTCCTGACCTCAGGTGATCCGTCTGCCTTGGCCTCCCAAAGTGCTGGAATTACAGGCATGAGCCACCAGGCCCAGCCGGAAGTGGCTTTTTACTTTTTCAAGCCACTCTACTAGTGAGGGATGGAATGATGGGACTCACGCGCTCTCAGCCTGGGTTCCAGCATGCCCTGAGGGCAACCTCTCTGTCCAGTGTCATCCCCATCTTTGGCCCTGTTTTTCTCCTTTAAGTTCTTCCTCTCCAGTAAGGCCTAAGAGTTCTATACTACTCAGACACTGCCTAGAAATGCAGGGATGGTAGGAATTATTGGCCAACCCATTATTAACAGAACCCCAAGGGCCCAAGGACCTCAGGCTGGGAAACTCCCAAGCTAAGGGTGGAGGTTTGGTTCTCATACTTAGGGAGCCCTCTGAGGACATTTACTCCATCATGCATTCATTTATTCACACAAGATTTTCTGACTGCCTATGTGTGGCAGGCATGGTGCTGGGCATGGTGGAGCTACAGATCAGAACCAGCTGCTGCCCTTGATGGCTTAGTCTGGTGGAGGAGACAGTTCTGAGGAAGAATGATGCTTATCTGACTCGGTGTCACTTAAACCTTGGCTCAGTGTCCCCTCTTTGAAAGGTTCTCCAGTACACTCTTCCTTCAATCTAAAGTAGTTCTCTAGCCACGTGTGGTGGCACATGCTTGCAGTCCCAGCTCTTCAGGAGTCTGAGGTGGAGGATCTCTTGAACCCAGGAGCTCAAGGCTGCCGTCATCTATGATCTTGCCACTGCACTCAAGCCTGGGCGACAGAGCGAGATCTTGTCTGTGCAAAATAATAATAATTTTTATTTTAATTTTGAAAAAATATGGAATGCTTCACAAATTTGCATGTCATCCTTGTGCAGGAGCCATGCTAATCTCTGTATCATTCCAAAAACAGAAAGATTGCTTAATGTACAAATGTTCGGATGGTCTCAGCAGTATAGGCTTATAGCTTAGTGCTACCTGGACAAGCCGGGTCCCTTTCTTTACCCCTCCCCAGCCCCACCTTCTGCTTCCCATTTGTTCATTAACACCTTCTCTGGCAAACATGAAAGACAGAAGGGTGGGGTGGGATTGTCAGTTTCATTTCCTTTATCAGATAAGTGACAATTTCTATCTTGGGTGTAAGTCCCAAGATATATTACAGGAGCCATGTTAAAGAAGCTTCAAAGATTGTGGCTGAAACAAGGCAACTTGTGTGTTTTCAGTTTCTGTGTGTTTTCAGTCTCATAGACATTATAACATCAGTTTCTAGCTGGATGGCCTTCAATAAATTACCTAATTTTTCTGTGCTTCAGTTTCTTCTTTTTAGACTAACCATACTTACTTCATGGGGTTGACTTGTGTATTTTTTTTTTATGATGGCGTTTTGCTCTTGTTGCCCAGCCTGGAGTGCAATGGCGTGATCTTGGCTCACCACACTTCCACTTCCCAGGTTCAAGTGATTCTCCTGCCTCAGTCTCCCAAGTAGCTGGGATTACAGGCATGCACCATCATGTCCGGCTAATTTTTTGTATTTTTAGTAGAGATGGGGTTTCTCCGTGTTGGTCAGGCTTGTCTCGAACTCCTGAACCTCAGGTGATCTGCCTGCCTTGGCCCCCGAAAGTGCTGGAATTACAGGCCTGAGCCACTGCGCCTGGCGGACTTGTGTATTAAAAAAGGAAAAGTAAGCAAAGTTCCTAGACCAGAGCCTAGCACCCAGTGGCTACTCAGCAATGCAGTGGTTCTTAACCCCTGGGCCTGCTCCGTCTTCCCCTCTCCTAACTTCACCATGCTCAGCTCTATCTTTGGTACGTTAGCTGCTGTTGCAATCTGTCGCGCTCCAGCTGGGGGTGTAACAACTAATTTCCTAACGTCTTAATCTTAGACTAATTTCCTAAGGTCTTTAGGGATTTGGGGAGGCTCCCTGCATTGCTGGGGAAACCAGGTGGCTGGTTTTGTAGTGCGGGGGGGAAGAAGGAGGTGGCAAGGCATGCTGGTGACAAAACAGATGGGAAGCTTATTTATCAGCACTTGATTGAGGCGGGGGGGCAGGAAAAGGCTGGGCCCTGCTGTCTGGCACTGACTTTCCCTCTCCTTTTTTCAATCCCTCTCACACATAGCCTTTAAAAAGGTTAATAGGCCGGGCGCGGTGGCTCAAACCTGTAATCCCAGCACTGTGGGAGGCCGAGGCGGGTGGATCACGAGGTCAAAGAGATCGAGACCATCCTGGTCAGCATGGTGAAACCCCGTCTTTACTAAAACTACAAAAAATTAGCTGGGCATGGTGGCACGTGCCTGTAATCCCAGCTACTCAGGAGGCTGAGGCAGGAGAATTGCCTGAACCCAGGAGGCGGAGGTTGCGGTGAGCCAAGATTGCGCCATTGTACTCCAGTCTGGGTAACAAGAGCGAAACTCCGTCTCAAAAATAAATAAATAAATAAATAAAATAAAAAATAAAAAGGTTAATATTGAATTATACAATAAATAAATGAATCCAACCTCCAGGTAAAAATGGGAATATTAAAGTTACAATGTACAACTTCATTCTTCTCTGATTTGCCCTACCCCCTCCGCCCCTCCACAATTCCACCTAATTACTGTTCTCCTTTTGGTCACAGTGTCCCTTTGTGACATCTCCTTCCTTTCAGGGCTGCCGAGACTGTAGCAGGCTACAGTGGCTGGGGAGACTCCACTCGTTCCTGTGCCCCTCCTAACCAGTCCTACACAGGGCTAAAGAACTTCTATAAACCTTTCCAGTAGCTTCCAGTTGACATATTCTCTCTCTCCTCTGAAATCCTACAAGTGCTATCTCATGATTTACAAAGACCCAATACATGTGCTGTCTCATTCTGTCACTGCTAGTGATCAGTCTTAAGCCCTCTGAGGCCTGGTTCTACAGCCGAGACATCCTCTATTTCTCTACGGTCTCTGTCTTATTCAGAGCACACAGTATGAATGAGGTCAGTAAACACACTGGTTTTTTGTTTGTTTGTTTTGTTTTGCTTTTTTGAGACAGAGTCTCGCTCTGTAGAGCAGACTAGAGTACAGTGGTGCGATCTCAGGTCACTGCAACCTCCACCTCTGGGTTCAAGCGATTCTCCTGCCTCAGCCTCCTGAGTAGCTGGGATTACAGGCATGTACCACGATTACCGGCTAATTTTTGTCTTTTTAGTAGAGATGAGGTTTCACCCTGTTGTCCAGGCTGGTCTCGAACTCCTGAGCTCAAGTGATCTGCCTGCCTCGGCCTCTCAAAGTACTGGGATTACAGGTGTAAGCTACTGCACCTAAACACACTGTTGAGTGATAAATAATTCTGTCTTTGTCAATCTATTTCAACAAGGAAGGCCTTTGAGGGGTCTGCTGCTGGACTAAACTCAGCTAGCAATTGAGGGATTTCTATTGAGGATGCTTAGCCCTACAGCTTCCCTGATAAGAGAGAGGGAAAGCCAAGTGGTGAGGGGTCCAGGCTCTGGACTCAAACATCCTCGCTCAGCCGCTTACTAGCTATGTGTAACCTTTGGTAAGTCATTTAACCCTTCATGGCTTTGTTTACCTGTAAAAGGCAGACAGTCCCTAACAGGCTCTTGTGGGTAATGGGCTTAGCGCTGTGAAACAGCTGCTTTGTGGGGTTCCAGGTTCACACAGGTTTGACAATTGAATTATGAACGATAAAGGAGAAAGACTTGTCAGCCTCTATATGGGGTGGTATTTCCGCCTGGGGGAGGGGATGCGGTGGTAGTGCAAATATTAGGGTATTCATATATTTCCTCCCGAGTCAAACGCTGCCAGGCACGTTCCTTTTGCCCCTCCCACCCTTCATTCTGGATTAATTCCAGGTTTAATTCCAAATATTAGAATGTGGTTGAAAAAAATCAAATAGAGCGGCCACAAATTGGGGAAGCGTCTCTTAGCTTGCGGCGGTGGCTGCAGCGCCCGTAGCTCCCCGCCCCGCCCCGCTGATTGGCCCGCGCCTCGTGACGTCACACGCGGGTTTTTAAGGCTGAGCCCTAGGCAGGCTCCGCAGAGGCGGCGGTGGAGGCGCGTTGGGTGGCTGCTGGGGTCTTGCGGGGCGGATGTGGTGTTTGGCCGGGAAAGGCGCGAGGAGAGCGCGGCTCACAAGAGGTAAGGGGACACTCCAGACCGTGCTGAGGCGGCCCCGGTGGGGGCCGCTGGAGCTAGTGTTGGCGATTGGAGGAGGGCAGGCGGGCAGGGGAGTGTCGCGGGGCGGTGGGGCGGGGGTCGCTGAGTAAGGAAGGGCACTGTGTCAATGGCTTGGGGTGCGGAGGGCCGGTGGGAGCCAGACTCAATCTCCGGCCTCAGCGTCTGCACCCCAACTCTTAGTTTGGGGACACTGTCGACTTCTCACTTCCCGCGGGGATCTTGCCTGGGGGATGGCGCCATAAGCTCTGAGAAGAGGCTCTAGAAGCCCACCGTCCACGGATCGAGCCCTTACCCCCAGCTTGAGTGGCCCAGGACCTGCAGGTCTCTCTAGGTCCCATCGCCCCCCTCATGACCCCCTAGAGAGTGGGGAAGACCCTCTGTTACACTTGCAGCTTAAAAATAAAAGGCAAGGAATTTTTAAAAGGCGGCTGATTTGGGAAGGGATCAAGAAGTTGCAAATCTTGTGTGTGTTATTAAACATCTCCTTTTTCTCCCATGACTTTTTCTTGGTTCAGAAAACCCAGGAGTGCTCCCTGGAACCTGCAATTTCAAGGCCTCCTCCCTGCCTCTACTAGGCGCCTTAGTTCACTATGGGGAACCACTTGACTGAGATGGCACCCACCGCCTCCTCCTTCTTGCCCCACTTCCAAGCCCTGCATGTCGTGGTCATTGGGCTGGACTCTGCTGGAAAGACCTCCCTCCTTTACCGCCTCAAGTTCAAGGAGTTTGTCCAGAGTGTCCCCACCAAAGGCTTCAACACCGAGAAGATCCGGGTGCCCCTCGGGGGGTCGCGTGGCATCACCTTCCAAGTGTGGGACGTCGGGGGGCAGGAGAAGCTGAGGCCGCTCTGGCGCTCCTACACCCGCCGGACAGACGGGCTGGTGTTTGTGGTGGACGCTGCGGAGGCCGAACGGCTGGAGGAGGCCAAGGTGGAGTTGCACCGAATCAGCCGGGCCTCGGACAACCAGGGTGTGCCGGTGCTGGTGCTGGCCAACAAGCAGGACCAGCCCGGGGCACTGAGCGCTGCCGAGGTGGAGAAGAGGCTGGCAGTCCGAGAGCTAGCAGCCGCCACTCTCACCCATGTGCAAGGCTGCAGCGCTGTGGACGGTCTGGGCCTGCAGCAGGGCCTGGAGCGCCTCTACGAGATGATCCTCAAGAGGAAGAAGGCCGCTCGGGGCAGCAAGAAGAGACGGTGACCCGAGCCCTCTACCTCCCTTGCCCCCCACCTAGTAGGGATCTGCACACTTGGACAGGGTGTGTGTGGCCAGCCTGTGACCTCTCAGTCAGCCTGGGTGCAGGACCTGTCCACCTCTATGAAGGATAGAGGAGCATGGGGGAGGGGTGTGGGGGTCCTGTTTGGTGCCACATTGGGGTGGGGATGGGAGATGGGATGGCCTTGCACATCTCTCCCTCATCCTCTCTGGAGAAGTGGGGGCTGCAGAAACGGGGAGGTGTAAATGTAAACTGTGACTCTACCTCGACCCTGTTCCTCGTTTTTCTTCTCTGGCTTTTTAATTGGATATGTTTTTGGGGGGGATGGAAAGTGGCTTGGAGAATGTGTTTGGGATGAAAGAATGGTCTCCCCATCCTCTGTCCCCCCAACTGGGGAGTCTCCCCAGGCTGCTTTTCTAGGGATACCAGTCACATAGTTTTTATTTTTGTGTCTGTGAAAGTGCCAAGAACCCCTCCCCAACATTTGTAGATCCATGACCCTTTTTATAAGCCGCCTGTGTCCTCTGTATTAACTGTTTTTTAGCACTTGCCTGTAAGTTATTAAAGACTGCTAACTCTGTAACTCTTACTTTGGTCTGGCCTTTTCCTCTCCTTATCTTGCCTCAGAGATAGTCCAAGATTTCTATGTGGCATTGGGGGGAGGGGAAGAGGGAGAATTCTCTTGAAGCTGAGTTTGCAAAGCAAGCACTTACAAAAATCAGCTTGTGTGTTATGGATGGCTAGTGGAAGTGATAGGGAGGAGCTGAAAACCCCTCAAGCTATTGCCTGATCTCTGTAGCCTTTTGGGTGGGGTCACTTCCTTTTTCTCTGATTTAACACCCTTCCCCTCATCCTCTGGGTTTTGTCCCTTATATCAACTGCTCCTTGCAGATTTAACTTCAAATTTTGCTGGTCTGAGCTGCTCCTAGGTTCTTGACCTTGGGGGCACTATAGAAGTAAGTCCTGAAAGAGCCATTCTGGGCCGGGCGCGGTGGCTCAAGCCTGTAATCCCAGCACTTTGGGAGGCCGAGGCGGGTGGATCACAAGGTCAAGAGATCGAGACCATCCTGGTCAACATGGTGAAACCCCGTCTCTACCAAAAATACAAAAAAAATTAGCTGGGCATGGTGGTGCGTGCCTGTAATCCCAGCTACTCAGGAGGCTGAGGCAGGAGAATTGCCTGAACCCAGAAGGCGGAGGTTGCGGTGAGCCGAGATCGCGCCATTGCACTCCAGCCTGGGTAACAAGAGCGAAACTCCGTCTCAATTAAAAAAAGAGCCATTCTGTTCCTATCCTGCCCACTTCTCCAGTCTCACGTTGATTTTTTTTCCTCCTTATAGGATGTGGTGAGAATGGAAAGTAATTCCTCCCTGGCCTTAAGTCACCTCTGTGTACTCAGTCCTGCTGACTGGCTCGGAGGCATGATGGCAGTGGCTGGTGCTGGGGAGGCCTCGGCTGGATTGAGCCAGCTTGGCCCTGGTGACTAAGCCATGCGTTTTCCAGCTTTGGAACGGTAGCTCTTCCCACGGGAGAGGGAGAAGTAGTAGCTGTCTGTGGTTGGTGTCGGTGAGGACTGCCGAACATACACCCTCCAAGACAGAAGGGGGAAGACATAAGCCCCCAGTGTTTGTGGTGATTGTAAGAATAAAATGCCAACATCTCAAGGGCTTGAGTGCCCCTACTCAGCAGCACCAGGGCCAGCTATGTCTGATAATGCAGAGCAGTTAGATCCTCTTAGTCTTCTGGTGGGAGCAGTGAGTAAAAACCAAGCACAGGGCTGGGCGTGGTGGCTCACGCCTGTAATCCCAGCACTTTGGGAGGCTGAGGCAGGAGGATGGCTTGGGCCCAGGAGTTCAAGGCCAGCCTAGGCAACATAGGGAGACCATGTCTCTAAAAAAGAAAAAAAACCAAGTACAATTATTTCCAGTTGCCCAGCCCTCCAGTTACCCCCTGCCACCCTTTGTGTAAAGGCAGACTCCCCAGAGCAGGTTCATCGTTCTCCACACCCCGCTTCCCCCACACTCTGCCTCCTCTCCTCTGGAATCAGATGAAAGGACCTGGGAACAAAGAGGAGGTGCCGGCAACCCCCACTTCTGCAGAAGTTTTCCTAAGGAACTTGCTTCTTCCTACCAGGTGCTGCCAAAAACTCAGATTTGTTCCCCTCCCATCCCTGTGGCTGGCAGGATGGGGGTGGGTGTGTATTGATGCGGAAGGGTGCCCAAGTGTGCGTCAGTGCTGGGGCCTACTTGACAGAACTGCTGGGCTGGTTCTGCTGGGAACACATGCTACGGGCCCCTCCCCCAGGCACACCTGTGACTCTTCTCGCCCAGTCTTTTGGGCAGTCCTATAGCCCAGGGACAGGTCGAGGAGGCCAGGCTGGAAAGGAACTGGCCAGAACTGACCCTCTGTCCTGCCAGGAGCGCTCTCCTCCCCTCCCCACCCCACCCTACCCCGCCCCACCTCACCCAAATTCTGCTCTTCTGTCTTTAAATCTTAAGGGATATATTTTCATTTCTTGTCACTTGGTGGACTTAGGTCTCCAGATTTGGGGGAAGACGTGCAGAGGTGTCCCCCATCCCTAGCAGAGGGGCCTCCAAGGTGTCAGCTCCTGATTTTGGCTCTTCCAACCACACTCCTTCCCTAGCTGGTTAGAACCCTCCCTGTCTGCAGGGGGATGAAAGAGGGAGAGAGAACCTCCCACTCAGCAGTCCTACCCAGGGATTCTGCATTTTGAACTCAGGGCAAGGGCAAGGAATGAGGGTATGGTCAGGGTGGAGGGTGAGGTTGTACTTCCCCTGGACTGGCTTCTCTATTAAGTAGGATTTCTTTGAGACCCTGGCATTGGTGCCAAGGAGAGCTTCCCTGGGGACCCAGAGTGGTGGCTGAGGCTGGATGCCTGTGAAGTTGAAGGAAACCTGTAGACCCAGAGTTCTAGAGTTAAGGCTTTTTATTTATTTATTTTTTTCAAACAGAGTCTTGCTCTGTCACCCAGGCTGGAGTGCAACGGCGCGATCTCAGCTCACTGCAACCTCCACCTCCCAGGTTCAAGTGATTCTCATGCTTCAGCCTCTTGAGTAGCTGGAATTACAGGCATGTACCACCATGCATGGGAAATGTCTGTATTTTTAGTAGAGATGGGGTTTTGCCACATTGGTCAGGCTGGTCCTGAACTCCTGACCTCAAGTGATCTGCCTGCCTCGGCCTCCCAAAGTGCTGGGATTATAGGTGTGAGCCACTGCGCCCAGCCCCAGAGTTGGGGCTTTCTTCTGAGCTGCCCTTCCCCCTCCAGCGACCCCTTCTTGCATAGGTTGGAATGTAAAATCCAGATGGAAGCCTTCCCTTCCTGGAGCTCCTCATCATGAGGACAAAGACGCCAGGGGTCCCCCACTTTCCCATGCCCTTTCCAGTCCTCTCAATTCTGCAAAGGCTCAAGGAAAACAAAGGAAGGAGGAAGGAAAGAAGTTCCTAAGGCCCAGAGTGGGCAATGACTTGCCCGCAGATACACAGCTACTTAGCAGTGCATCCAACTCCTTCCTCCCAGGCCAGCTCTTTTTATTGCCAGGGCAGGAGACAGGAGGTGGGAGACAGGGAGCCAGGACAGCATCTCAGAGCTCTGATTCCCCCTCCGTCTTCCCTCTCCTTGATTAGATTAAGGGCCAGCTTTCCGCTTTCCCACTCCCCTTCCTGGGGAGTGACAGCTTTATCTCCTAAGCCCAGCAGAGGTCTGGTCTCCAATCTGGCCAGAAGTTCCCATCCCCCTTTCATCCTGACCATGTGTCATTGCAAGTCTTTCTTGAGATGGATGCCTCCACCACGGCCTGGGAAGTGCTGAGTTCTGCCCAAGTGCTAGGAGCACACAGGACAGCATGTTCTCTAACACAAGCTTGTTTTGAATGGGGCCAATGGGTAGAGGAAAGGGAGGGAATAAGGGATGCAAGGGAGGCCCAGGCCAGCATTCGGCTGGAAGGGGTGGGCAGTGTGGCTGCACTTCATTTCCAAGGCCATCTATTGGGGAGTTTGTGGGTGGATGCATGGGACCTCCTCCCCTGGATGAGCCAGAAGAGGGTATTTGCTGTTCCCTTAAAAAAAAAAAAAATTGAACATGTTAGATGTTCCTATTCTTTTTATTTTTTATTTTTGTAGAGATGGGGTCTACTCTCTTGCCTAGGGTAGTCTTGAACCCCTGACCTCAGGCGATCCTCCCACCTTGGCCTCCTAAAGCACTGGGATTACCAATACAAGCCACCAATCACCACACCCAGTCATGTTCTATGTTCCTTTTTTTTTGTTTTTGAGACAGAGTCTTGCTCTGTTGCCAGGCGCCAGGCTGGGGTGCAGTGGCATGATCTTGGGTCACTGCAACTTCCGCCTCCCAGATTCAAGCAATTCTCCTGCCTCAGCCTTCCCGAGTATCTGGGACTACAGGTGTGCGCCACCACACCCAGCTAATTTTTGTATTTTAGTAGAGATGGGGTTTCATCATGTTGGCCGGGGTGGTCTCAATCTCTTGACTCGCCTCGGCTTCCCAAAGTGTTGGGATTACAGGCGTGAGCCACTGCGCCTGGCTTTTTTTTCTTTAAATTTTTACTTTACCTTTTTTTTTTTTTTTTTTTTTTGAGACCGGCTCTCACTCTGTCAGCCAGGCTGGAGTACAGTGGTATGATCTTGGCTCTCGGAAACCTTCGCCTCCTGGGTTAAAGCGATTCTCCTGCTTCAGCCCCCGAGTAGCTGGGATTACAGGCATGCACCACCATGTCCAGCTAATTTTTGTACTTTTAGTAGAGATGAGGTTTCTCCATGTTGACCAGGCTGGTCTTGAACTCCTGACCTCATGTGATCCACTCTCCTTGGCCTCCCAACATGCTGGAATTACAGGTGTGAGCCACTGTACCCAGCCAGTTCCTTCCCCTCCCCTTCCCCTTCCCCTTCCCCCTCCACTTCCTCCTCTGCCTCCTTCTTTTTTTTTTTTTGAGAAGGAGTTTCACTCATGTTACCCAGGCTGGAGTGCAATGGCGCGATCTCGGCTCACCGCAACCTCCGCCTCCTGGGTTCAGGCAATTCTCCTGCCTCAGCCTCCTGAGTAGCTGGGACTACAGGCATGCGCCACCATGCCCAGCTGATTTTTTGTATTTTTAGTAGAGACGGGGTTTCACCATGTTGACCAGGATGGTCTCGATCTCTTGACCTTGTGATCCACCCGCCTCGGCCTCCCAAAGTGCTGGGATTACAGGCTTGAGCCACCGCGCCCGGCCTGCCTCCTTCTTTTGAGACGGAGTTTTGCTCTTGTTTTGCTGCCCAGGCTGGAGTGCAATGGTGTGATCTTGGCTCACTGCAACCTCTGCCTCCCAGGTTCAAGTGATGCTCCTGCCTCAGCCTCCCGAGTATCTGAGATTACAGGCACCTGCTACCATGCCCAGCTAACTTTTTTTTTTTTTTTTTTGATATTTTTAGTAGAGATGGGGTTTCACCATGTTGGTCAGGCTGGTCTCTAACTCCTGACCTCAGGTGATCCACCCTCCTCAGCCTCCCAGAGTGTTGGGATTGTAGGCGTGAGCCACCATGCCCAGCCATTCCTTCTTTTTAAAAAGA